TAGGGTGGGAATTTTTTTAAGTCTCCAGATCATAGTAGCTAGACATGTTGGTATGCAAACCAAGATAATGAATGCTCACACCGATTGGCATGAGTCTTCTTTGCATTTATATTTCACTTATAAGTTTTCATTATCAGAGTTGGCAACCTTTAATATTTTCCCCATCACTCGATGTCAATCTGTCAATTCTTTTTATTTGACCACATCAACTCCCTCAGTCGTGTATAGAGAATAAAGTCTTGAAAGTTGTTGATTTATAGGCCTGGTCGACTAAACCCTTTTCATGTAGAAGATTGGGCTTTATGCTATTGATGGGCAATAAACCTTATCGACTCTACTCTTAACATGTAGGGGATGGGATCTAGAGAAGTCATCAAGATAATGACTATATGCGCCAATTGGCACGAGTCTTCTTCGCATTTATCTTTTACTTGTAAGTTTTTCTTTCATGTAGTTAGCAATCTTTAATATTTGTCCCAACACTTAAAGTCATTCTTGGGATTCTTTTTATTTGACCACACCAACTCCCTCATTCATGTACATAGAATTAAGTCTTGAGAGTTGTTAATTTATGGGCCTAGTCAACTCTACCCTTTTCATGCAGAAGATTGGGCTTAGTGCTATTGTTAGGCAATAGATCTTATCCACTCTACCCTTTACATGTAGAGGATAGGATCTAGAGAAGCCATTAGGTTAACACTGCCAACTCTTCCTTTTTCATGTAGAGGATTGGGCTGTAGGAAGCTATCAAGCTATGGGCCAAGTTAACTCTTTCGTAAGTAGTAATCATGCCTTACTGTGAGACTAACAGAACTAATAATGGAGAGACCAAAAGTTGGGACTTAAAATTGTGTTTTATAGGCAAGGTGACCTAACCCGCTAGCATGTTGCTTATCTTTTTGTAGGATGGTGAACATGTTGGATCTATTGTTCAGTGTGATGGTAAAATAGATGGGGATATTATCAGTAGAGTTCGAGTTGGATGGTTGAAGTGGAGGAATGCATCGGGCTTGTTGTGTGATAGAAAAGTCCCCCTAAAACTTAAGGGAAAATTCTATATGATGGAGGTGAGACCTACAATGCTTTATGGTGACAAATGTTGGCCATTAAAGGAGAAGCATAATACTAAGTTAAGAGTTGCAGAGATGAGGATGCTCAGGTGGATGAGTGGCTTCACCCTTAGAGATAGGATATGAAATGAGCATATACATGAAAAGGTTGGAGTAGCTCCAGTGGAAGATATGATTAGAGCGAGTCGCCTTAGATGGTTTGGCACATAAAACGATGGTCTCCCAATGACCCAATTAGGAAAGTAGAGGTATTAGATTTGACTTATGTTAAGAAAGGTAGAGATAGACCTAATAAGACTTAGTTAGAAAATATTAGAAAGGATTCTCTTTATTAGATTTAAACAAGAATTTGACTTTTAACATGACACAATGGAGAAAAAGGATTCATGTAGCCGACCCCACGTAGCGGGACAAAGGCTTGATGTTGTTGTTGTTGGTGGTGGTGAACATGTTGGAGGCCTTGTCAATTCTACTAACACAGTTTTCCTCACAAAAATTATCACCATTGAAATTCCACAAATCTTATTTAAAGCATGGGAAACAAGAATTAGAAAGAACCATGAAGCCCTAAAAAAATAATCATTGATTATTTACCAAAAGGCCCGGCCCACACTCCTTTTTGTCTAACTAAACGGTTTCAGGCAACAATCTCAATAAACACAACTATGATAATTTTCTCTAGATTTATGTAGATTTAATTTCTAGAATTGCTCTTCCACCAGATATATATCTTATCTTGTGTTCACTTTATATATGTATTGGCATTGGGTTAACATAATACAAATTTAGGGTAGATTTCTATCCATATAAAAAAAATAGAAAGAAGTATGAGAAAAGCTATGATGCACCGACACTTCTCCTCAAAGAGGCATGCAGTGTCCGACACCGTGTCCGACACTACACTCGTCCGACACTCCTCCGACACATGTCGGACACGCCGAAAACGTGTTCGATTAAAAAATATTAAATGCAAATTGGATACGCGTGTCCGACACGGACGCGTATCTTAAATAATTTATGAATTTTTTTAAATATAATTTATTGTATTTTGCGAGATTTAAAGTAAATTTCTTATTTTCTATCCACAACACAAAATCAACGTCCGCGCTTAATTCCTAATCATCGAATATTCTCATTTTCATTTCTTTTTGGCAATGAAGATATTTTCATCTCCTCTCTCGGTGGCTGATAAATGGCATTGACACCTGACTCTCGACGCCTGAAATATTAATTGTTGTTTTTTGAAACTTACCAAAAAAAAGTTAATGTACATGCTCGGTACTGCTAGGTATCGCTAGGTACATGCTCGATATCGCTAGGTACATGCTTAGTACTACTAGGTATCGCTAGGTACCGCTTAGTACATGCTCGGTACCGCTAGGTACAAGCTCGGTACCTAGTTATCATGAAATTGATTTATTATTGCTTGTCATTTTTAATATAATGTCACTTTAATTTATATATATTATATTAAAAAATTATTATGCCGTGTCCACGCCGCACCGGTGTCCTATATTTTAAAAAAATGCTGTGTCCCGTGTCCGTGTCGTGTCGTGTCCGTGTCGACGTGTCCGTGTCGGTGCATCATAGGAGAAAAGAGATGAATACTCTAGAAAGGAATCACACAACAAAGATACTTGACTTGCCTAAAGAATAAAGTATTGTGAGATGTATATAAAAGCTTACATTAAAATATAAATATATTGAAAGTTTAGTAAGATATAAACTAAGGTAGAAAGAAATCTTGTAACATGGATGAATATGAATATAATTGGAAGGATATACAAATGTTGATTATGCTGGCTGATAAAATATCAACTTCAGGATATTACTAGGAAGAAATCTTGTAACATGGATGAATATTTAACAATCAAGATCAAGTGTAGAGTATTTTCTCAGAGCAATTGAATAAGAAATTTGTGAACTCATATAGCTAAAAACTATTCTAAAAGACTTGAAGATTAAATGAGAAAGACATATAAGAATAAACTATGATAACAATTGCGCCATTAACACTGCCCACAAACTAGTTCACATGATCGGATAAAATATGTGCAGGTGGACATGCATTTTGTAAAAGAAAAGCTTGCGAATGCAGTGATATACACTCCTTACGTCCAGACGGGTAGTCAACTCGCCAAGGGACTTTACAATTCTGCATTTGGAAATATTTTAGATAAGTTGGGAATGTTAAACCACAACCACCCATGTGTTAGCTGACGGCCGTAAATAGCAAGATTATTAACATTAAGATCAACAATGATAATTTGAAAATATTATCATGTAAAGTATTAACAAAAAAAAAATCTTATTTTTAAATTACTTTGAAAATATTATATTTTTTATTATTATCATCATTTTTAACGAGATTAAAATTTGCTCAAAGGGGCTGTTTGGTTGGAAAAAAAGCGTTGCATTCCAAATGCATTACTTTTTCAGTTTTTGGTTGGATGAAAAGTAAATCCAACATAAAGTAAATACAGTGCATTCCATTTTAGTTCATTTTTTAAGGTAAAGCATTATTGTCCATTTTGATCGAGAACAATTTACAACGCTTGTTCGCTTACTTGACCACTGCCGATGGCTATTACTGTGGCCCTCCGGTCGGCCGCCACCGTCGCCACCACCATTTACGACCATTACTGCTGGCCGCTGCAACTTCCACGAGTAGCCGCCACCATCGTCGCCCACCACCGCCGCAGCCAACCGCTGTCATCGCAGCTACAACCATCACCACCCGCTATCATCGCCACAACCCCCAACATCTACTACCACCACTGTTGCTATTGCCACCCGCAACCACCACCCTCCAACTTTACAATGCATTCACTTTACTTCAAATCAAACTAAAATCATGCATTCATTTTACAATTATCCAAATAACTCCAAAGTATTCTTTTACACCGCATTCCTTTTCTACTACGTTCTTTTTTCAAGCAACCAAATAGCCCCAAAGTCTCTAAAGCACAATCATTTTTTATAAAAATATGGATCATATTTTTAACAACTAAAAAGAATTTTCTAGCTCTGCCCCTAGCAGCATCAAGCATATTTATCTTCCCTTTATACGAGAAAAAAAAATAAATAAACTTTTCTCTATTTATAAACTGAATGAATAAAGGGTAGAGATTAAACGATTGGAACATTATCCATTAAAACTTAATTTGGCTATAGGAGTTTCGGGAGAAAGAGAGTTGTTTAAGAGAATGAAGGGTCCAAGGACTAAGCATGAAAGCTAATGATTTTGGATCAACCCTATTGACTTCAATAATGCCCATTTTAGAATTTAGCAATGGTTCACTGTAGTCACAATGCAGGAGTGGAGTTTTCTCAGAGTCGATGAATGTGAGGGGTATGTCACATTTAGATCATTTTGGCTCAGGCTGGAACTGGGATTGATCACTGCATAGAGAATGTAACACACTGTCTATTATGAACTTTCTTGGGTTGGAAATGAGCAGTGTAAGCAGCAGCATAGAATCTAACATGAAAATTCATGATCATGGTACACTCAAACCAGCTCTATCTTGTTGAACAAATAACTTTGAAGTTGGGCCATCTCCTGACAAACTGTCTCAGGGACACAAGTTCTACGAGAAGAAATATTATGTTCTGCTAGACTGAAGTAGGAAATAAACTCAAAAATGCAATCAAACCACAGTAAAAAACTATGGCATCGATGTCCTGTTAATATTAAACCATAGAAGCTGCATGAACAAAAAAACTCCTTCAACACCAATCCAAAAATATTTATTTGAATGACTGCCACTGTTCCTATAAGATGTAAAAGGCTAAAAAATTGTCAAATTATCAGGTGCACATATAACAAACATTTTTCTTAGTTGTAGTTACGAATCCACTAAGCAGTATTAACCAATAAACTACAAAATTAGTTAAATAAAACAGAGTGGCTTTGAACCAAAACCTTACTTGTGCAGTGAGCGACTTGATGACTTCTTTGGCTGCTTTACATTTTGCAGTTTCTTCTCCGGCAATCGAAATAGCCTCCTTAAGCTGTTTTGACGTTCTTTCCAGTTCAACTTCTTGTAGCTGAGCCTTCCGAGTGAGATTCTCCACCTACAAACAAGCATCATCAAACTCTCGCAACAACTTCAGTATTTTTCTAGTTTTCCATAAAATGCAAGATTATATAGCATTCCATTTCTACTGTCAAAAGAGAAGCACATTCCAAACTAAAATTGAAGTCCAAATTTAAGAGTTGCAGCTATGGTATTCACGATCATGGAGTATCTCAACCATGCCGCATGGAACAGAGCACATTTTTTCCACTTAGGGCCTTTTGGTTTGATATTCTTAAATACACGCATTCTAGAATTCAAAGTAATTGAGATGTATGCATTTTAGAAATAAAGCACTTGGTCACTTAGATGTAAATTAAATATGATACATGTTAAAGGCATTGAAATGAGCATAACGGCAATGGCAATGGGCAGGGAACGATGGCAGAGTGTGTTGGCAATGATTGGCGGGCAAGGCTACTGGCGAACGAAGGAGGTGAGCGGTTAGCAACTGGGAATCACGAGCATGGAATTTAAAAATTGCCAAATTTGGGTTATTTTCAAATGTAGGAAAAACTGTGATTTAATGATATTTCAAATCCCTCAAAACATTTTGTTCGTATTTCTTTTGTTTAAAAACAAGCATAAAAAATTTAAATACAGAAAAATAAAATGCAAATCCCTATTAATATTGCCGATCAAACAGCCCATCGACAAGTTTGCAATGCATTGACAAATAAATTAATGACCATTGGCTAAGTAAAATTATTGAAACTTTATAAGTAGACCTATGCAAACGATCTTGTTGATCATAGTCAGTTCAGTATATTATAAAAAGCTGGTAGAAAGTATATGAAGAGAACTAACTACAGAAATTTTGAAGAAATAAATAATTTGGCCGCCTTTGAGATACTTTATTTGGTTTGCCCAGGAAAGTCGAACCCAAAAAATGCCCCAAAGATGATGGACAAATGAACTTTTTGTTTCTTCGCTCCAAAATATATGGGTGTAGAATATTCAGGTTCTTGAGCATTAGTAACTAACGTGGTATGTTAAGTTTGATGGAACAGAGGTACACGCTAGATCAATTGTAGTTGAGAAGAACGATGATGTCAAACATTATAAGCTAAAATGTCTACCTGAGCCTTCAGTCGAAGCACCTCTTGGCTTAAGCTGTCATTTGTCCTTTTTCCATCATCAACTGCAAATTTTGGAGAAGTTAATCCACCAATGGTTGGTGTTGGTGTGGTAGAACGAGGAGGGCTAGGCCTTCTAGATATAGGTGAAGTTGCACGAGAAACAATTCTTGAACCAGGAACAGAGACTGAGAAGAATTTCTTTGATGTTCCAAATACTGGATTGAAAGATTTAGATAAGTTAAGAGAGCCCCAATTTGAGCCTGCATTTGGTATTGGAGAAACACGACTGCTGCTAAATTCTAGCTTCTTGTTTCTCTTAGATCTACCATCCATACTCCTTAAAGATTCTAATGATGAATATTTGGAGGTTTGTACTTGAGATTTTGAATCAATCTTCTCCTCCTTATCAACCACGTCATTGAGGCCCTGAATGGTACCTCCTTTTCTGTTAGCTGCAGAATGAGATGATGAATCATTCTCAAATGCCTTCATTAGCTTGTTGAAGCAGCTATCACAAACACGATAAGGTTTGTTAGGATTGGGAGCCATTGAAGCTTTAAGAGATTTTTTACTACTGCAAGAATGACAGAATACAAGGGCACAGTTGTAACAATTGTGACGTTTTCTTTTAAAATTAAATGGAAGCCGACAGCCTGAGCACATGGACTGATCCACGCCAGAAATCCACTTGTGAATACAAACAGCTGCAGTAAAATTAGTTCCGCATACAACACTTCTAACTTGTTTGTCTTTCAATGCTTCAACCAATGTTGGGGTGCTTCTATCATCAGTATCCCCATGGCCTAAACGGCCACTTGCGCCTTTACCCCAAGTATAAACTTCAGTTCTTGAAGTCAAAACCGCAACATGATAAGCACCGCAAGATATTTCCTCCACAAAGTTTTTCAAGAGCTTTCCTTCAACACGTACAGGGACCTTTCCATCTGCTTGGGGGCTTCCAAGTTGACCATAGACAGTACTTCCCATGGTGTAAACCTGGCCTGAAGTTGTAAGGGCAACAGTCAGGCTGTGGCCACAAGCAACTTGGCAAAAGTTTGGATCAACCACAGCAGCAACACAAGTAGGCACGAGTTTGGGTTCCTTGTCACCATGCCCAAGACGACTTTTATCTCCATCTCCCCATGTAAATAGTTTGCCAGAAGAACAATTGCTAGAACTTGAATTTCCCACCATAACTTCAACAACTGCAGCAGTGTGCCAAACACCACAAGCTGCTCTTACCGTGCGTAAACCCTTCAGAGATTCTACTTCCCTCGGTATCAAAACACTCTTTCGGTCTCCATGACCAAGAACACCAAAAGTTCCATCTCCAAAAGTAAATAACTGTCCAGCCGATGTGACAACGGCAGTATGCCAAGGTCCACATGAAATATATGAGACATGAATACCTTCAAGAGGACCGTTAACCCTTTTTGGCACCCAGTGGCTCACTTCATTTCCGTGACCAAGAAGCCCATAATTGAAAGTACCATCACCCCAAGTGTACAAGTCGCCAGACAGAGTAACAGCACAAGTATGATACTCACCGCATGCAACAAGTTCAATGTTCATATTGACTAGAGCATCAATGAGCTTAGGCTGTGATACATCAGAGTCCACTCCATGTCCGAGCCTTCCTCCAGATTCTTCGCCCCAAGAGTAGATCTCTCCTTGTTTAGTAACAAGCGCAGCATGTTGTCCACCACAAGAAATATTCTGAACATCAAGAATCACAGCAGATTCCAAGGCTTTTGGAATCAGAGAGTCCATTTTACTGCTAGAACAGCTTCCAACTCTATTGTTTCCTCCACCTAAAATTCCATCCCCAATTCCTTCCCCCCATAAGAAAACATCGCCTAAAGCATCTCCATCATCATGGCCAGATCCTTGACTTGATGAACTCACAGCACTTGATAGGCTAACTCTAAATGCATCCATATTCATACCCCTCATGTTCCCATTTAAACTATCTGAGCATCCAGATGACAAAGAATGAACTGAAGCAGAAGCAGAGTCCGTAGGGAAAAAACCCTTTGGAGGAACAGCATATACTGCACCAGAGAATGACTTATCCGAACCATTTTTTGGTGGACTATCATATGGGCTCCGAACTCGTAAGGGATCACTTCCATCCTGAGTTGAATTAAAGACTTAAGACGATCATTGATAATAACAAGGTACATGAAAGTAAAAGAATTATAAATAACCTACAGTACCTTTTGCATACTGTCAGTGCTACCAAAAGGAGAACTTAAAGGTGAACTTCTCCTGGTATATGTCCTTGGACTATGTGTTCCAGACGATACTCCATCACTCCTTGATTCGGTCCTCCATTTCCGCTGATGGCTGCGTGATATCAATGTTTTCAGACCAGCAAACCAAACTTCAGCTTCATCTTTATCTTTGCATATCTGGCATACAAGCAAAAAAACCACACAAGATCTAGGATTATATAATGATAGAGATCAGTAAAGTGAGCCAATTTCAACTAATAATTTCATAGGAACGTAGCAAGAAGTCCCAAAATAAGTAATGCTTACAAGATCCAGGGACCTATCACTATAGATAAGAGAAAAAGATTGGCATTCCTTCTCAGGCCGAGGGTATCTCTGAAAAATTGCCTGAAGATATCAATGTAAAAAGTGACATTCATAAATCAGTTCAGCACAACTTCAAATCAGAAGAATGCAAATTAAAAGTTATGTAGTAGGAATAGGGAGCCGCAATAGGGAAATCAAAACAATTGAACTTTCAGATTATTCTAACAAGATTAGACATTTTCAATCCTTGAAACAATATAACTAACTCTGCTTTAAACATCAACCATAGCTAATTCACATAAAATGATTTAGCAAGGATCAAAAAGGACTCCTTTGGTAATTCTATATTTTTCTATTAAGATCAAAATGGTTCTCTAACTTTTTCCGAATGACTAATATGATCCTTGATTATTTAAAAACCTCATTTTAGTCCTTTGACTTTTTAAATAGGGACTTAAATGATCCCATTTAATTTGATCCATATTTAAAGAGTCAAGATACCATATTTACTATTTTAGTCATTAAAAATAGTTAAGGTACCAATTAGATCATTTTCTATTTATGAATATCAAGCCAATGAGGAAGCACCGTACAAACTAAACGAATGATGATTTGCCACCGCCCCACTCTCTTTATTGCATCCATGCCACTGTCTAGACTTTCAAGAACCTGCATGACGTGATTAGCTAATCCTTTTCATGCCACCGTTATGAAGCAGAAACTAGAGTGCAGTCTTACCTTCATTGGTGACAAAAAAAGTGAATATATAAATATACAAACTAGCAATATTGTCTAGAGGATCCCCAAAATATTAATATACAAACTAGCCCTATGGTATACAAAATCTCTTCTTTCACTGTTTTAAATATATCATACTAATAACTAACATATACTAGTCCAGCACAAATAAAAAAAAAGCTCCATCATTCATTCTATAACTTTTATTCAGTAGAGAAGAGCCATATAAATGACTGATGGCACAAGATTGTGCTATGAGCTCATCTATGAGTATCAACTTAGTGAGGCAGCCTAACCAAAGCAAACCATGATTTGTCCCCCGCTCCTCCTCTCTAACAAAATCATGCCATCTGTCTAGACTATAAATAACTAGCATGAACGTGATAAGATGACTCTTTTCATTTCATTGATATGCTGAAACAGTAACTTGAGCTTCTCCTTGCCTGCATTGGCGGCAAGAGAATTAAATAGGAGCATGCAATTGGTGAGTCATCTTACTAGTCGGTATTATCTACACATTTCTAACTCAATGAATATGTTCTCCAAGGTATAAAACAAGCCTTAACAGTCTTAAACATTGAATTTCACATAGTATTGCTATAAATCTTGTTTTAAAATAATGACCACGCCATCTTGTGCAGCAATTAAAAGGAAGCAGTGAAATAAAAAAAGCATTGTAAGTGACAAATCTGTTCAAAAAACAATCACTTTGGACTTCATGAACATAGTAAACAACAACTTACCTTTAGATTTAAATTGGAACTTGCTTACAAAAAACGCAGATGCTTTAATTGAAGTATTTTCTTAGACCAAAAATACAAGGTATCGTCACTTATTAGACTATAATTTGACTTACAGTTCGCTGTCCTGGCATGATCCGGGATACATGATTTAGTTTTAAGTGTTTTTCATCTTTGCCTGAGAACCATATTAACATGGATTCGTCCTGAAATTAAAAAAAAAAAAAAAGTCAAATTAGATAGGCTCGGAGTTAGAAAATATGAAATAAAAACTCAGGCTGATGCCTCAAAATAAATAATGGATCGTGAGTGTTGAAATATGATAATATATGATCCACAAAAACAATTGTCAAAATCGGGGCGCATAATAAATACAGATATTGTTTTCATCTGCTTAAAGTAAGAAAGACCAAAGTAAACATGGAAGCAGTACTTAATCTCATTCACCATACATTATTAATATGTGTTGAAATAATTTTGAATAATTGTACAGCATCATTCCATCTACAATAACCCAACAATTCATTGACAACAACAATCCCTCTACAGCAATTTAGCAATTTGTGGACAACAAATTTCCACCTACAACAATCCAATGTGGACAACTTTCCATCTACAGAAATCCATGGACAGCAGCTGTAAACACCTGTTCATCCGGCCGGTTCAATTGAACCGGCTGGCTACCCTTTTTATTAACCGCGAACAGGAGCGGATGAACAGAAAGGGGCCAAAGGGCGGAACACGACAGGAATGGCCGAACTCGCTGCAGAAGTTTTTGGAGAACTTGTTTCACCATTTTCAGCATTCCATCGTGTTTGGAGATAAGAATCATCAACTCCTCTTTATTCCTATCACTAAAGAAGTGGAGATTAGGAAGAATGAGAGGAACGACCAAGGGAAAGAGGGAAGAAGATTTGTTAAATTTTTTTCTATTTTTCTTATAAATTTCGTCATTTACCTCATTTAAAATCAATGATATTTTCATAAAGAGAAAAGGAAGGGATTGAAAGCAAAGAGAAAGGATTTTGGGAGAGAAAGAAGGATTTTGGGATTTTGAGAAAATTCCATTGTAAGTGAATTCTCTATTTATAACTTTATTTAAATTTTGTTATCTAATCACATTTTCATAAAAGTTATATTGTATGGATTTAGAGATTTTAGAAAGGGAGAGATCAAGTTGTAGAAGTTGGGTTCTTCAAGGAATTCAACAAGAAAGAAAATTTTGTGAGGTAAGTTTTGAAGAAGCTATTAAATGCTTATTGATATATTTAACTCAACGTTTTAAAAGGAGAAATCGGGAATCGAGGCGTTTTGGCTAAGCGAGGCGAGGCGCAAGCCTCGAGGCGGATCGAGGCGTAAGCCTCAAAAATGATAAAAATAATGTAATTTAAAATTATGAATAATGATAAAAAATAATAAAATATTATGTCAATTGTGAATTTGATGATTTGTTCTAAGATAATATTAGTATATTACTGGAAAAGAAGATTTAAAATAAACTCACTTAAAAATAAAACATTCCTTCAGGATTAAGACCCAATGCAGGCTTATCATCACTTTGATTGTCTTTAGAAAAATCTTCATAATTAATGTCAAAATCATCCTCAAACTCTTCTTCATCTATAATATTTTTTCTTTTATCCCCTATATCAATTAATATTTTATTAGCTCTAGAATAAAATAATAATAGCATAAAAAAAAATTCATTATATTTAAGAATACCTTTGAATTTTTTTTAAGTTTCAATCTTACTTTGTTTCTTTCTTTTATATATATGAGTAGTTGCTTCATTGTCTTTATTGATAAGAGTTTTTTTTTTCTTTTGCTTCAACTTCAGAAACATCAACATTCTTAGGAGTAACTCATTCATCATCATATTGTAAAGCATCAATAAGTAAATGGTCAATTTCATTATCAATGCTTCCTTGCTTCTGTAATTTGAGATGTCTATCTTTCAGTTTTTTGTTAAAAAATAACATAAACTAGTTTGTTCATTCGATCTGTCGCCAATCGATTTCTTCTCTTAATATGAATTTGATTAAAGATGCTCCAATTACGCTCGCATGCAGAAGCCGAACATGTTAGGCTAAGAACTTTAACTGCAAAAGCTTTCAATTCAAGAACATCATCTCCAAACTGACTCCACCAACATTCTACATGAAAATGAATTGAATTTTATAAATATTGATTGAAGTATAAGACTTAAACATAAATATTAAAATCAAAATTATAAACATACCAGGAGATCGTGTTTTGTAGCATGTTTGTGCTGCTCTAAATCCAAACATTCCCTTCTTCAAATAAAATTCCTCAAGTTGATCATTCACTTTGAGGTAGTCTTCTTCATAAATGAGTCTGTCCATATATGCATACAAACCAATTTTCACCTCTTTATCAACATCAAAGTCTTTATCATAATGAAATTGAGGGTTAAAATAGTATGCAACTGCATGTAAGTGTTGGTGTAATTGACGATTCTACTTTTCATCTATAATATCCCGGTCAGGTCGCGGGGTCAAGGGGCAGCGCCCCTGCGGGGGTTTTCAGGGGCAGCGCCCCATGAACAAAATTTTATTGTAAGAGTTATTTTGAAATTCTGCTTGTTTTTAAGATCATAAGTTGTTTGTATGGAAAGATACCGAGCGGTACCGAGCATATACCGCTCGGTACCGAGCATGTATCGCTAGGTATATGCTCGGTACCGAGCATATACTGCTAGGTATCACTAGGTACTGCTAGGTATCGCTAGGTACATGCTCGGTATTGCTAGGTATCGTTAGGTATTGCTAGGTACATGCTGCTAGGTACCGCTAGATATCGCTAGGTACATGCTCGGTACCGAACATATACTGCTAGGTATCGAACATGTACCTAGCGATACCTAGCAGTACCTAGCATGTACTGAGAAGACGAATGAAAGAAAGTCGAATCAAGAGTTATTCAAGCTTTCGTTACTGCACATCAAAGTCAAGGCCCACAACACCACTCACCTCCTCTTCCGACCTAACCGAGGCCTGAACGTTTCTTGCACTCACAAATTTGGCTTCGTTATATGCTTTCGAAACCGTTATTGCTTTCGGCTTCGTTTCCTGCGTCGTCTCCTTTCGACTTCGTCTCATGCACTCACGGCCGCCTCGTACTGCCTCGAGGTGTTACACTCTGATGCGTATGCCTTGTGCGAAAAAATCGTACGCTTTGCTGAATGGTTCGAGGCGTAAGCCCCGATACGCATGACTTCCGCCTCGACTTGAGACGCGACTCAATGCGAACGCCTCGTCCGTTTTTTAATGGTTGATTTAATTGATATTTAATATTAATTAAATTATTATATTCTTGTGAACAGTTAAAGATTTTCAAAACTAGACGAATATTGGAAGAGGAAAATAAAGTGGGTAATTACAATTATTTGAATTTTCATTATTTCATTCCATTTTCATATTGAAAGAAAGATTTATATAATTGTTTTGCTTATTTTGAGGCTATTAGAAAGAAAACTTTTTATAATTGCTTTGCTTATTTTAAGGCTATTAAGAATAAAGCCATGTAAACTTCAAATGTATTAGATTATCCTTATAAAGTATGTAGAGATGACATGAATAAGCAAAAGAAGGTAAAAGAAATGGAAAGAAAAATTAGAAAGTAGTTATGCATATACATGATACTCATATGTATTTAAAAAGTATACATACGAATGAATGTTATATGAATGAAATTTAAAATAAATGAAAAAGGAAAAATGATATGCATGCAAACTTACAAAAGTTCACCCCCGCATAGTACTGGCTAGGGAAGCAATGTACTCGTGCATGTAAGAAGGAAAAGGATATGAAAAAGGAAAAGAAAAATGAAAATGGTTGTACCTTCGATATATTTAGACGGTGCTCATGTACAAATGAAATGGAAAAATGAATAAATATCAAAGCTCTATAAATGTTATAAATGAATGTGAAATGATATGCATGAATGACTGAAATGAATAAAATAAAGATAAGGAAGGGAAATGAATAGATGTATATTAAATGTTATATGTATTGTATATTTTATTTCATGTAATTATTTTTAACAGTAACCCACTGAGTTTATCTTCTAAACTCATTCCATTAAATTATGTTACAGGTAAGTCCTCAGAGATTAGAAATGGCCGGAAAGGAAGAAATTGTTTATAGAAGACGATGTAACAATGAAAACAGGTAAATTATGACAGTTGTAATTGTTAGCTTTGAAAAGTGAAATGAATAAATTTTATGGAATATCTTTGTTATAGTGGCTATTCAGTTGATTTAAGAGATTTTATGTTAATGTGATCATTTAAAAGAATGGAATGTTAATACCATCCGACTTTTAGTTCCCGCCTTTGTTGACCTATAACTACCACACAACCTCACAGACCTCTAACTGTCGACAAACCTCAACCAACGATCCCATGACCTTGAACAACTGTCGCACTCACGACACAAAAACAATGCCCTCCCTCATTCGGAGGTTTACGCACATAGAAAATCATGCACGCAAGGGAAGAAAGGCTAAAAAACCTTACCTATGCTCTTGTTCATCGCTCTGCCCTAGCCGACCGAATTAATCGGCTCGCCGTCGCTGCTTCCTTCATCCAAAGCCTACGTAAACACCAATCTTCGTTTGCTACAACTGACGCCAATGCTGACCTCCAAACTTTCTCATCCCGCTGGCAACTCAAACACCCGATGTCAAAGCCATCCTCTTCCATCTCCAGCCGCAACTCTAACCTGTTTGTTGTGCTTCCTTCTCAGAGCCCGATCCCAACTCTCGCCGTCGTGCCTGACTCTAGCCTCACCGGCCGACTTGCCGCCTCTGCCGACGACCAGGTCGACCTGACCGCTTCCGCCTCCGCCGTGTGTGACCTAGCCCAATTGAGCTTCCTCTGATTCTTCCCCTCCTCTCTTCTATAAAATATATGTAATATTATACATATTATAATATATTATAACAAATTATATTATATTATATATACATATTACATAAATGTATGCAATATATATATATATATATATATATTATCATTATTAATATAATATTATATATTTAATTTAAAAAAATCACATGTAATTTAATCTTTGAGGGACCATTTAAGATCAATCTGAATCGTTGTACTAAGGTTTTATTTGAGACGGCTTTCTTACTGCTTTTTAAAGCAGCATTTTAGCACACAAATTTTAATCTTTTACTAGAA